ATCTAATATAGATGGATGTAAAACAAAAATCCAGGTTATGTGTAAGTGGGATACAAGATTAGCTCTGGTAGGTTTAGATTGTAGATAAATTAGTCTAAGTCTTATCTCTTCATTAGACATATAGTAATAGATAATGTATAATATAAAAAGTTGTACAAACTGTAACAATATGTTCAAATAAACAGATCTGAGGCATGACCTCACCTTAACTTCAAAAAAAAAATAAGAATGTTTATTAAAGACATTGAGCAAATCAAAAATATTACCATCCTTAATGTGAAGTCATTATTGATCTTGGAAACTATTGATTTAATGGTTTCAATTATTTTTCATGGTGATATTGAAAATGTTAAAATTGAAGATATTTCAGAAAAGTAATGATAAATTTAAAAATAATTGGCACTTCTACTTAAAATTGAAGATATACTAGAAAATAATGCTGAATTTGAAAATTATTGGTACTGCTACTAAAGGATATTGAATCTTTTGTTATGTACATATGGCCTTCCAGTTTCTTTTTCCACATTTTCATTTTAAGTATATTTTCATATAACTTTATATATGAAAACTACCTCTCATGTTCTCTCCCTTAAATTTCTTTGGCATTTTTTGTAATTAGAGTTAAAACATATATACTGTCGCAGCATTCTTGATTTCGTCGCTTTCAATACTCAAACGGAACACTACATTTTTAATTTATATCATAGTAAATCGAAAATTAGATGTCAAAGTAAATTGAAAATTAGGTGAATTAAGTGGATTTCTTGGAATTCGAAAACTTTAAAAATCATATCGATATAGCAGAAGCAATATAACCCTTATATATAAATCCAGTGATTAAATTTATCATTTTTAATACTATTAGAAATCAATTTATATAAGGAAGTTCAATATTAAAGTTGACAAACCTAAATACACTTAAGAACAACCTAAAATTAGAACCTAAAAATAATCTAACTATTGCAATTCAAGAGCAATAATCTATTAATAAACCCAAATCTGAGTATTAAATACTAACTCTTTATCCAGCATTCTAATTCTCGAACCATATAAATAGTACCATATGCTTGACTAACATCCCTTGCTTAAAATAAATTCAAAAATAATCTTGAAATTGGAAACATATTAATAAAAAAAAGTCAATGATAATGATGTGTATTAAATTGTTAACTTAAAAATGCACATTTCTAATTAAATATGTAAGTAGTGTAGTGCTTAATCTAAAATTTTTTTTTTGCATTGTCTTATTAAAATAAACATGACTTTAATAATTTTTAAGTTTGGACAGATATTTATTGTTGATAAGCAGATAAAATATCATGTGAAAGCAAATAGCTAACAGTAAATAAAATAAAAATAAATACCTTTTTGAATGAAAAAAATAATTTATAAGAGTTTTGATTTTGCAATCATTTGTGTTGTATGATTTTTGCGCCAAATTTAGATTGAAATTTTTATTTTAGACAATGAAGCCTTCAATATAATTTTTCGGGTTTCTTTCTGGTAATGCAATTATTTGTAGTTGATACAAAAATATTATTAAGTTTACCTTTACATGTTAGGTAGTTTACCCATTAAATTCCAAATGTTATTAATATCTGATAGTTTATATATTGTTCAATGTATTGTAAATTGTGTACAAAAAAATGACTTAAATACAATTCAATTGAGAGCTAAAATATTTTTTTATTTTTCAAATAATTTTTTGCATTGTACATTAATTAAAGAGAATGATGATAGGTTTAACAATTGATATTATAAATCTATTATTGCAGGACTAAAACAAATTAAAGTTTATGTCAAAATTTAAAATTATGTAAATATGCCAAATAGCTCACCATCTGAGTTTAGATAACTACCTATCTCTCAACAAGACATTGATCTTAATAAAAAACCTTGAGAAATAAATGAATTAGTTAATGAACTTAAATTAAATTTTGGTGATGTTCGAACTACAAAATGGATAGATCACTTATAGAATTCTTCAGTCAATACCAGGGTATAATCAACAAAAAAATGATAATAACAATAAAAAAAGAGTTGGTATAAACGTATTGTCTAAAATTGTAAAGGAAAGATAGACAACTATTAAAAATTTTAATCAACATAAATACCAATTTTGGAAAAAATTAACAGATATAAACACAAATTACTATATCAAATTATAAATATTTTCCAATTAAAAAAAAAAGCAAAAAACATCCTCCATTAGCAGCAGTTGATAATAACATCAAATCCACTTTAACAACACCAAATTATCTATTGAATCTCCTTTAAATAATTATCTTACACCTATTTTATTTCATAAAAGCCTTATGCCCTATTACTTATCACTTAATTATAGTCAAAATCTTGTGGCTTCAAGTATAAGGTTTGTTCAACCTACTTACAATCCTAGTATAAATTATCTTTCTGAATTAAACATATATGGTACTAGTTTTATGTAATTTTAGCAACAAGTAACTTTATTACATGATGTTTAATTTATCAAAGAAAGCTTTGACAATTCTAAAACAATACATGATTCTGTATCTTAATTTCGGTAACAAATAATATAGAATTCTTTTATTTTAATTTCACTAAAAATATAATTATTTGTCACAAAATTAGAATTTATATAGATTATAATATTACAAGTTAATTGCAAAAGCATCTTTTTTAACACATTACTAATTCTACATATATACAGTATACAGTATATGGTATCATTACTTAAATTATACTACCTATCAACTTCCATTTCTTGTTTAGTACATTATCATAAAATGATACAGTATTCTTTATTACTAAAATAAAGAATTGATGTTTTAAGCTTCTAATTAAATCCAAGTTATTATAACTATGTGTAGGATTTTATTTATAAAATCAAAATTTTATTATTATACGAAATAAAAGGAGTATAAGAAAATAGTTTATTTGTCTTTACAATTTTTACAAGTATATCGTTATGTTGTCATGAAACAAATATAGAACAAAAAAAGAAAGTTACTAAATGTAAGCGTAATTCATATTCTATACTTTATATTTTATTATGTAGTAACAAATGAAATTAAATGTTACAACATATATAGACACTAAAGCTAGATTGATTGTAACATCCAGTCGAATTATGAAGTAATATGATATATAAATGAATGTATAGTATATCATTATAATGTAGAATAGATCACTGGTAATATACAAAAGAAGTAAAAAGAAGACAAATGAAACGAGAGGACATTTGCAACTAAAGAACACAAAAGTACAATAAAATATACTATATAAAAAAAGAAAATGTACAAATTTAGTTAAGGTAAGGAATATTAAAACTAGAAAGAATATGATAAAAATAAAAAAAATCAAACCGAATTAATTCTACCAAAATTATGTTTACCAGGTTTACGAATTAATTATACCTAAGTTATGTTTACCAGAGTTATATTTTTTATGTTTACTAGAATTATGAATTAATTCTGCCAAACATTCGTTTTGTCAAAAATCATTTATAACTCAAAATTTAGTCCTTCTGCATACTAATAAAAAATTTTCCTTGCAAAATTTTGGTATAAAAAAAAATCCATCCAAGCCCAAACTTAGTGACAAATTACAGACCCAAATCTAAAATCATAATTTTTACTCTAAAATTTTTTTGGGTGGAGATTTAAACCCTGTTAAAATCATGTTTACCATTATAATACATCATAGTATTATATCGAAGTTGGTTATGCAATTTATTATTACTTTAAACACATTAAATTAATCATGTAGTCAAGAATTTGTGAAAAAACAGAAAATTATTAATGTTAATACAATTTGAAATAGGCAATTATTTAGTTTAATTAAAAATATACAAGTGTCAAATACTGTAATGGAATTTCTTAAGCCATATAATAAATCATGTTTACCAAAATTATGATCTGGACCTGAAACCATTGTATTACGAGCCAAAATGCAACAATTCATTAAAAAAATAGCATATCTTAAACCTAGTTCATTCTCTGACAGCATCCTGATGCCATCGGAAAATGAAATAAATAACACAATTCATTACAGCTGTTCTTATAAATTTTGGGACATCTGGTAAAAAATTGACTGAAGGATTATTAGGCTGATTCGATAAGTTTATAATTTTAGCAGTGATAAATTTCATGATTGGTATATAAAGCGATTATTTTTTAATACATAATGTATAGAATTCTGATCGCCACTACAATGTTAACATATTCAAAGTTAGGTTTTCACTTAAATGCATGTTTAGTCTGTTTGGTATGTTTAATCTGTATGAAAATTTATAGTGAAGATTGTTCTTGCCAATCAATAGATCTTAATAAAAAACCTAAAAAAGGTTATGAATATATGATAAGCTTTCATAATAAATATATAACACGAGTAGGCACTAATAAAAAAAGTTCATTATGATCAAGAATTTATTGACTGGATTAAAAACAATATAATTCGAATTATAATTCCAAGCAACTAAGATTTTATCAACATTTGCCGAAACTGTGTTGAAAATTATAATTAACAAAATTAAAGTAAAATTTTATACTTTATGTTATTTTATTTAAAGGTTTAATATATAATAATTATTATAAAATATAGGCCAAAAAGAAAATCAGTATGAATAAAATGAAAATGTTGAAATGATAGACTTGACAACTAAAGAACCTTTAGCTTGTTCATCTATAACAAATATTTTACAAACACCTAGTTTGTTTGAAGTAATCATGACTGAATCTAAATTATCTAACTTATCTGAAGCAACAACTGAATCTAATACAATACTCCTTATATCAGAAGCAATAGTGACTCAATCAAAAATTATTATGCCAAAAGAACCAGCTAAAAGTATGATACATTGTATTTATTTATTATAATATTTAATATATTTTTCAAAATTAATTTTATTTTATTTTTTTTTTAGTGTTAGTTACAATCGATTTGAAAAACCACATAAAAAACTTAGCAATCCCATATGATCTTGAGAATATAAAAAGTTTCGAGAACATTGAAGAGGAAATTTTATCATGCTCACTTCTTGAGCATTGGAGAAAATTAAATTAGGTCATATTTGTTATCAAATTTCAAGTACAACCAAAGCAGATTATTATGATTTCATAATGATATGACAATGTTCTTCTGTTATAAGCAGATTCATCTGAAAAAACTAACTGGTTTGTGTATATTGAGACATTCATAAAATAAAATTATCTCTATCTTCTTTATTTCATTCTTTTGCAAGTCTTGAAAACTATGTATAATTGAATTTTAATATAATTTATAATATTATAGTATATACATTTAAAATATATACTTGTTTATTTGTATATCCAAGCCAATGTAGAACTCTTCAAATTGTTGATAAACTAATTTTATGTTCTAACCAAAGTTCCATCTTTAATTGTAATTTATACAAATATCAATCAGGTTTTTCATTTAATAAAGCTTTAAAATACTTTATATCATCCAAATTTAATAAACGTGATCTTCCTAAAAGTGCTGAAAGCTTTTCAACACATTCATATCTTCGAAAATGGTTGAGAATTTGATTTATGAAAGACCTACTAATATCAAGATGTTTGGCAATTACCCGAACTGTTAAGCCTTCCAAATATTTTTCAACAATTGTCCAATGAATATGCTTTGAAAATGTCATTTAGCAAAGATAAAAATAGGAATATGTATAATTTCTAACATTATTTATATCAATCATTATTGAAATCACAAAGCATCATTTAGCAAAGATAATATACACATTATTATATAATCGCCTATTGCTGAAATCATAAACTTATCGAATTGGCCTAATAATTATTTAGTTAATTTTTTACCAGATGTCCCAAAATTTATGAGAACAGTTGTAAAGTTAGCACATCTTAAACTCTGTTTATTCTCCGACAGCATCAAGGAAAATGAAGTGAGTTCAAAATTATAAAATATTATTTGATGTGCTAAATAAGAGTTATTATTCACAGATTTTATTCCTTACTATTATAAAGTCAAGATCTGACTATTTGTAGAAACCCTATTATTTTTATTATCATTATAAAATTATCATCTATCACGAGTGTCCTGTACATTTTTACCAATCATTTTGTTTATGTAATGAGGAATGAAATATACTTTTTTGAATGTTGCTGCATGTTTAATTGTTTTCTATTATTATAATCCATGTTTTGTTTTATCAAACCAGGTTTTGTTCTTATATCTTTAAATCAGAGTTATTATAACTTCTCATAAAGTAACCACCACAATATCAATTTTAATTTTTTATTGTTATAAATTGAAATTTTTATTAATACTATTCAATGCATTATATGTTGTATAATTTAATTAAACATAAAATTGATATTAAATGGATGCTTGCTCTAAAAATATTTTTTGTATTTTCTCGATAAGATAAATATAACTTTAATCATTTTATTGCTGTATTTAAAGCTGCATTCTGTAAACTAATAGCTAATACAAATAAACTGTAGTTTTAAAATAAACTACAGTTTATTTATATGTACTATAATTCACAGTTCACATCTCTAATTATTATTGAAAAAAGAGTAAACATGTGAATTTTACTTAAACGAATAATATTTAGGATTCTGAAAATGAGCACTTTATATTGTTGGGTTTGGAAAATTGTGACTTGGTCACTTCAAAATTCTAAACTTTGTGTAATGTTCAAGTAACCTTTTCGAAAGAGGATGTTAGATTTGGCTTGTGGGTGAGAAAGGCTTTCAGTTACTTCGGGTCAACGAATGCAAGTAGGGTCAGTCATGTGTTTACAGGTTTGAACAGCATCATTTACAGGAGTTTATAGGGTTTTGTAGCAGTAATAGTGTTAGTGTTTATTAAATACAATGTAGGGTATTAGAAGTTTATTATTTAATAAAGCAAATGAAGCGTGCGAAGCATGTGTCTCTCAAGGGCCATTTCAGCCTTTATTTATAACTCAAAATTCGTTACTTACAAATGCGACTTAATATTTATTATGCCTTAAAACTAATTAAACTATTTAAAGTGATTTATTTAATATCTGTAAAAATGTGTAATTTGTATGTATATCCTCACCTTATTTCTTATCTACCCTTCTGGATCTGAAATATCTTTTTCGATTTTAAATGTAACTTATTGCACTTATTGCATTTCATGCATTTTTCACGTGATCGGTCATGGTATTCAGTGTTACGATTCCTAGCATTATGGTAGTCACAAAGATCATAAGAGTCTCTAAATTGATGAGCCTGGCACTAATCGAAGGTCAGCTTCATGTAATGATCAGCTTGTGGTTTTGAATGAGGCACGTAGATTTAACAGGTGGTTTATCATTCGTAAGTAAGTACTGATCTCTTCTTTTCTTGGGTTTTCCTTCAACCTACTTTCCTTTACTAATTCCTTTCTCTTCTTATTTTCTTGTCTCATCCAGGATTTCACTTCGTCGAATCGGTGTCAGGACTCTTTTTGATTCAGTTTTCGGGTTACAGGTCATGTGACTATGTCGAATGATCAATGGCGGGTTTGGCTTCTTCTTAGTGCAGGCGGTTTCTGTTTAATGATAGTCACTAGGTCTTGTACCTATACTTGGGTCAGGTAAGTAGTTTATGCTTTACATTTGTTTTTACTTTATTGTTCACTTATTAGGCCTATCTAATCTTATTTACATCCACCCTCACAATATTGATTAAGAAAGTAGCCAATTCAAGTTTTTTTTTTGCCAGATTTTTCTAAACTGTTTTTTTCTCTTACAAACATGAAACACTATAAATGAGCCTACTTTTTTTCTTATCAAAGAAAACAAATCTCATTATTATATAAATAATTTCTGTTGTACAATATAAAATTTTAAAGTCAAATCTAACTTTTTACTCAAGATTATTTATGCTATATATATGTATGATGAACTTTTATTGAAGCATAAAATTTAGACAGAATAAGATAATTACTGTGTTTATTATTTAAATTAACTGATAGTTTAACTAATATTTATTTATATATTAGCAAAAAAAGCAAATTATACATAACAATATATTCATAAGTACTTCCATTATTCTCAATTCGAGTATTTTCAGACAATTATAATAATATTTATTTAAGTGTCTCTGGGCATGATGTATTATGTTCAAGATTAACAAACATTATTTTGATGACATTTTTATTATCTTTAAAAAATTAAACAACTTCTTGAACAACACAAAGTTTTTTAATTCAACTGCAAACTAATCATATTAACTTCATTTTTTTGTTTAATAATAAAAATATAGTTCCTTTACAATCTGTCAATATACTATACAAATAATCCAATATATATATATATATATAATTCACTTAAATATGAGTGTTCAAATTACTTAGCAATTTATCTTTTAGCTGCAATTTCAGTTTCTATAAAAGCTTTAATACTTTATAATTGAAATTATATTTTTATTAAAAACATCTATATTTCATAAAAGATTTGAAAAATAACATGATTATAACTTATCATTTAATTACAGAAGAGTCAAATTTAGGAGACTGATGACTTGCATCATTATCATCTAAAAGACTTTTGAGAAAAAGGTCATAATTTTCAACAATGCTATTCATTAAAAATTTTGCTGTAATTCCAGCTCCAACCATAATATTAGTAGGACAGCATGTTAAATTAAACAATTCTATTAACCTCCAAGTTCCAAGCCAGTACTTTCTCTTCTGTCTTTCCTTTATGTTTAAAATTGATTGCATTTTTTTATATACAAATCCACATAATGTATAATGAGAGGGAGGCTTATTTATGTTTTGTTCATACTTAGCATTAAGCATTATAATTAAAGAAATATAAGCTTTTTTGAGATCATAAAGCATTTTTAATCTCTTTTCATCAACTTTATATTTTAAAGAAGTAATTTGATCAAATTGAAAAATCCATTCTTTTAAGTATCCTTCTAATTTTTCAATGCTTGTTAAATATTCGAGTGATGATTGGAATGAAATATTAATTTCAATATCATTTTTATCGAAAAGGTCTTTGAAATTTGTAGTAAGGAAATCTCCAATTGAATTGCTATTTTAGAAGAGTTTGTTTCTATTTAATGTCAACTGAGTTAACTGTTTATTTGTGAATTTATTTTTAAGGACTTTTGCCTTGTCTTTTTCAACTGCGGTACTGTTATCTAACATTTTAATTTCAAATTAGTAATATATTAAAGTTATAATATATTACAACAAATAAGAAACAAACAATAGAACTTATATAAAACTTACCATCTAAATTCAATTTGTCTAGAATGTTAGCCAATTGTGAATTCTCATTTATATTTTGAAAGGTTATAACTTCATCTAAAAAAGTATATTAGTTGCTAAATTTGTGAAGAAAAAAAATAATAATATCATTTCTAAAGTTACCATCTATTTGAAGTTGCAACTTTAGATATATAAAGTTGTACCTAACTGGAATTATATATATAAAGATCTAATTTCAAGGGCTTAATTTTAGTTAAATCAACTTTATATATCTAAAGTTGCAACTTCAGATAGATGGCAACTTTAGATATGACAATAATACTGCATGCATATCAGGTTTACATCTTTTTTTCAATTTCTAATGTAATACAGAATAATTTTAATGAAGTGTTTTTTTTTTTTTTTACCAAAGTCTCCTTTTAAATTTTGTTTAAATAATTAAATTATATCTAATCATTAACTTTAATCATTTTATACCTTATTATCTTAAGTGCCTTCATTTTTATAGGCTTCAAGTTGTGACGATGTTTCAAACTAAATTCATTCATAAGATAAATTAATTGATTCAAATCTAAATTTGATAAAAAAAGTTTTTATATGTATAAGCTTACTGGATTACTACATTCAACAGCCTTATTACTTAGATCCTAAAAATTTAGTATAAATGAATGAGATTCTTAAATAAATTTTTAATAATGTAATACATAATATACATAATCTTAAACTTACTGAACTTTCATTGTTAGTATCTTCCTTTTATTGATAAATGAATTAGAAAACACTGAAACTAAAAAAAAACACAATATAATAGAACTCTATAGAAAAAATATTAAGATAAGATTTATTCACCCTATTCACTTGTTTACCCTTAGAATCTGTTGTCTTGGGTTTTTTTGATATTTCATACTTTTGGTTGATCTTATGTTTGTGCTTTCGGGCTAAAACACCTTGTTTCTCAATTTCTTCTTCAGAATTCGAATCATCTGATTCCTTGACACAGAATTATTATACAGATATTCATTATATTAGTGTTAAAGATTTTAAAATCAAAATTTCAATAATATCATATACCAAAATATTAATAGAATCATTTGAAGCTGGATAGTTTCAAGTAGTTAGAAATAATTAATGATAATTACACTAAAAATTTATTTTAAGTCTTACTTCTTAGTTTCTCGACTTTATCAATATAAAATTCCTGTTAAAAAAAATTCTACAATTAGAGTTATTCAAAATTATTTAAGGGTTAAAAGGTATAAAATACAGAGGGTATTTTACTAAAATTTTCATATAGTGATGGAACACTGAACATTTCTGACAATAAGGAAAAACCATATAGTAAAAAAGAAAAAATCTATAATAAGTTCTGACTATAATACTTAATAATGATTATAATCATTATATTATATTACAAATTATCTTTATTATGATGTATCAGTTAAAATTCTTACTGGAATAGGGTCATTAATATAAACTGAAGACAAATTAGAAGGAACATTTATTATTATGCTTTCATTAGCTTTTTGTTTTTCTTTGGCCTTTTGTCAATTAAGAATTAGTGTTCGATATTACAAAGCAAAAAATTTATTCATGATATTTACTTGTGACTTAAATTTTTTTGAACTTCGAAAAGTTTCACTGATTATAGGTTTGCACTTTACGGAATCAGATTGCAGATTACCAAATTTTTGTGTTTTCTATAAATGTTTATGTATTATGTAATTCTATGATGATCTGAAGAAGTCAAAACATAATGCTTATATACAGACATGACATTTTTTGCTTGATTCTTTTTGACTGCATCAGTAATTTCAGCTAGGATGTTGACTAATTCATACTTTAATAGATTTTTATTCCTTATTAAACATAAAATGCTTAAAATAACTGAATCAAAAATAAAATTTTCTTACTACTCTATTATTATTCTGATTCTGATACATGTGTTAGCATTTTTATTAATTTAAAAAAGATCTGAAATTATTCTTACCTTCTCATTAATTATAGAAGTTCTTTCATTTCCCTTAATAATATCATGTAAATATATATTTAAATAACTATCTAATGAAAAAAAGGCTAAATTTCTAAAGTTAATTGAAAATTTATCTGATTATCAATAATTGAAGTGATTGATAACATGTCCTAAAAATTTAATACAAAAAAATAAATGCAAATTTTTTAGACATATGCAAAAAAATGTATGATTAATAATAAATTATTAACATTTCTATTGGGTTGTCAGCTTGATATTGATTCATTTACAGGTTCATTGACCTTTAAAATATAAAACAATTTAAGAGAAATATTATTATTATTACGTATTAATTAAAATTCTTACCACTGGAATAGGACCATTAACAAAAAGTTGATACTTTTCAATGTTTGGTAACTCATCCTAAATTAAGCGAAAAACTGATATAAATATAAATAAGAACTTGGCACATGTAATAAAGAAAAAAGTAGCCAATAAATTACTAACTTTTCTTATTTGACTACTGTTCAAAACATTTGCAACATTTCTTGAATCAATCTCAGATTGAATCAGATTTATTTCAATATCAATTTCCTTCTTAAACATACAATTTTTTTATGAGTTTTTAAAATTATTAATGAATTTGCGCAAAAATATTTACCATTATATCATTGATGCTTGGTAATAAATCTTCTGATAAATCAGAAGGAACATTTCTTATAACTTCATCAGCCTTTTGAAATTATGAATTAGCTTTTTATATTATAAATTATATTATGCAAATAGTTATTCTTGATATTTACTGAAGCTTGAAAACTTACACACTCTTGGCACAAGCTTAACGTTAACTCATCAGAAACTTGTTCTTCAATTTCTTCATCTGAATCTGTATACTTGTCAGATTGCAGATCAGCATAGTTTTGAGATTTCTTTTGTTAATTTTATTGTATTAAAAATAAACATGTAATTTTATAATGATTACATATTCTGAAAGGATCACTTTTTGAAATTTATTAATATTAGTTATTTACCTCAACACCTTGGACTTCATTTAGTTGAGTGCTTTTAGTGGTATTAGGCTGTTTGTTCTAAAAAATTTATTTTAAGCATTTGACATTAATAGTCATCAAAAATTATTTTTTTTGAGACTTGAATGTTAAGATGTAAATAGTACATTATCATGTTCATTCAGATTATTACTAGCTTCCTCTAACACTTCAAACTAGTTCTTAGATTTGTTTCTTAAGCCTAAAAATTTTCTTTTTAGAATTTTTCTGCAGAATAAACTAAAATAATAATGTATTATTACCTCATAGTAACCATCATCATCGATTGTGATATGAATTTTATTATTCAGTTCATCAAGCTTCAGAATTTTTGCAAAGTTTTTGTATTTATAAGGACTACATTTGGTGCACCCAAATGTACTGTTTCAGAAGACCCATTATTTAATGTGAAAGTAACAGAAAATAGTGGATTATCATTGAAAGTTGCAGAAGTTATTTTTTCTTTTGTCACTTTTCAGATAATGTCAAAGCAATATTTGATGAGTTCACTTTTATCTTCAATTGTTTTTATCATTGTTGCTTGAAATCTTTAAGAAAAATTCTGAAAGTAAAAATTATATATATATTTGACAAGTGTCACTATACAACTATTTAATATAACATCATTACAAAATTTACATTGATAACGCCAAGATTCTAATATAAAAATTCTTAAAGCCATGATTATATATTATAGTAATGTTAATAAAATTGACTAGATTGATATCTGATTTTTAATTAATTTAACATAATCATGTATCAGTAAATAATATTAATAAATTTGATTATATTGATGTTGTATCTGATTTTTTGATTAGGTAACATGTAATTCTAATGAAATTGACTATATCAATATTGTGTTTGATTTTTTGATCGAGTTAAAAAATAAAATTCCAAATATCATTATTTTCTTAATGAGTAACATATTTATCGAATTCTGAAGTTGCAGCAGTTAACTTATATAGCATATAACTTTTAACAAAATCCAAATGTTATTTTCCCAGTAAAATAATTTTATATTTTACAAATTTTCTTATTCAATTGATTTATTATTAATGTCACAGCATCATCTCAATTTAATTTCTTATTCTAAGCAACTCTATAGTAATAATTCTTAGCTTTTAATATTAAAAAAATTTCTTTAAGAGTTTTAAAAATGGTAAATGAAATAGGCTCAATGTGAATATATAATTTTCCCAGATCTATTTATATATTAAGATGCCTTGTTTTGAATATATGGAGAGATAATTCAATCTTGATTTTTTCTGTATAAATATCTCATATTATGCAAAAGATGAGATGTTGATTTAAGATCTGTTTCAGGCATAATGCTGAGAGTATAAATTATTGTGTTATATGTGGGGGTATTAATATTCGAGTTATTAAAGATTTTATTATGTATAAGTTGAAGTTCTTTAATAGAAATTTGATTTAAATACTTGGTTATTTTATTAATAAGTTTTGTGCGCAAATTTGTCTCATGCTTTTCAGCCAACTAATAAAATAATCAAAAATGATCGATTAATTAAATTTTTTAAATTGTAACTTCATTTGGCTATACCATGCCAATCATTTGCTACAAAAATCACTAGAAAAAAATTATTCATATATGAATTACACTGATTTTTTGAATGCTTTTTTTGATAGTAATTTACTGGTAAAGATGTATCAAATTTGTTGATCAATTTTATGCATAAAGTACTGTACAATCCCAAATTTATTTGCAGCATTATATGCACCTGGCGTATATATGCATTTATCCATCTACTATCCGAATATATTTTCTTTAAAGGGATCACTATAATACCTAGAATCAAATTGGATTTTAAAGCAGGTGCCCCTATCAATTCTTGGACGGTTGCAGGTCCTAAAATTTAATAAAATAATTATTTAAATAAAGAAAAATAAAAATAAAAGATATATATATTTACTAATTTTTCTTCTATAATTTTTACATTGTGCTACAAAAGGAACACAGTACATGTTTCCACGTATGTCAATACCACCATCCTCTGACCACCTTTTTGTATAAAAAATAATAAAAATAATGAATAACAAGATAGAAAATCACGAATTTTCTAAAACTGAGAAGAATGTTTAACAAAAGAGTTGGCCATGAAGTGCTTTCAATTCTCGGTCTGTATGCATTCCTATTCATCATAAATTTGGAAGCACGGTAGCAGGCATAGCTAAACATCAAAAACTGGAAGAACGTTCAACAGCCGAAACTGTTGGCCATAAAGAGCTTTCATTCCAGATAATTTACATTGATAGTGGCAGCGTAACTTCAGAACACAATACACATGCATTAACTCAGTGAAATAAACTCACTTTGTTTCTATACAACTAACATTCTTGCTTCTTAAAAATACAACTTTATCTTCTAACTCTTTCTCCTTCTTGCGCAGTGACTTTCTTCTAACTCTTCCTTCAATATGCACACACTCAATTTCTGTCACACTTTCTTGAATAACAAAACTAAAGTCAACAAGTAACATTTTTTAAACTACCAAAATAATAATACTCATCTAATATTATTTTTTTTTTCTTTGCATTACATATTTCATTAGAAACGGATCTCAAGCATAAATAATTACTAGAAAAAGAAAAGCTGTAGATCTATCGTTATATCGATATCGATATCAAAAAAAAGTTACACAATCCAATCTGAGCTGTACGCAAAACCAGATGACCTAAAATACTACAGTATCATATTTAATTAATAATTTTTAGATAGCATAATCCTAGGTTTACCAATCGAAAATTAAGATCAAGTGCAATTGTTTATAAAATTAAAATTTTAGGTTGTGCTATCACTTTAACATTGGCACACTAATTGATTTTTTTTTACATCTGACTGTGGTTCTCAAGTCTCAATCTCAATTTGATTAGCTAACTATAATTATATATTTAAATACAATTTTTGATAGCGAATCGAATATGCAAATTAGTTAGCTCAAATGTTATTCTCTATATGATTAGCTAATAAACTTGATGATGCTAATTTACTATTGCTATAATAAATCAAAATAGTAATTGCAATCGTTACTTGAGCAATTCATTAATATTTTGTCATCACTACGTTTACTTTGTCAATATTCAGTTCTTGCATGATAATGCTCAATTAATTATAAATATTGCTAAGCCAGAAATGAAAAAAAGTGGTCTGCCATAAAATATTTGTAAATTAATAAAAATATATTAATTACATAATAAACTTTATTAAACTACGATGTTTATTAACATTAAATATTCATTGTGATGCTAATCACATTTGACCCCTTAACATTAAAATGTTTTTCACTAAGTAAAATTTTATGATTTAATTACAACACATAGTATAAATTTAAACTCAAAGTTTATTTTTGATATCAAATCTCAAAATTTGGCATTCTATTAATGTTGTTACAAACTTTAATTAATTGAATTCACCTTCAAGATTAACAATATATTCATATTAAAAAATTGGCCTAATTGTCTAGCTATAGATCTACATATAGGTTTGTTTTAATTAGTTGACTACCCACCCTAACGTTAACATTAAGTCTATGCAAAAATGTCACAAATGTAAGAATTATTATGTTTAATTATCATGTTTCATTGAAACTCAGTTCATTCTCCAATGGCACCTTGATGCCATAGAAGAATAAACTGAGTTCAATTGAAAAATTAAAATATGTACTAAAGCTTATCATTATGAAATAGTTATTATTTGTTTCAAGGATTTTTCCAATATGTGGTTCCTCTTCAAGATGGTTATTCATGTATGAGTGGCATTTAGTTAACAGATAAAAAGGATGAATTGAATTATATAAAAAAAATAAGGTTAAATATAAATAATACAAATGTTATTACGGTATTTGATTTTTCATTTATAAGTCAGCATTAGTATATTTAATATAGATTGTTAAGTATTTTGGGAATCCTGTTGGAATACTTGTAGAAGGGTTTGGATAAATCTTTCTAACTTTTCTACTTTCTATTAGAGTTGTAGAATAAGTTGGTTTTAGGTCTTGACTTGTTGTAATTGTGCAACTTGTGGTTGCAGATAGTTTGGTTTTGGTAAAACTTTATTAATAAAACTTAATGAAGAGTCTACAGATTTTGGTATAGGAGATTGATAAATAGGAACTGGTAAAGGAGCATAGTTCTAACAATATCCATTATATAAATCTAATTTATCTTGATATTTAACATGTAAGCATTCTTTGCAAAAGTCAACAGAAGCACTAAACTGTTGATAAAGATTAGCAATAACAAGTTTATAATCAAATTCTGAGTGGCTAATATTAAAAAACTTAGTTTGTTATTCTTCTTTATTGTTAAGGACAGCTTGTTCAGCTTATAGAATAAGATCCATTTTCTTATATGATCATGATTGATTAATTTGATCATTTACTTGAGGTTTTAGAACTTTAGTAATAATGAGATCTGTTTCTTGCAGATAGACTTTAGCAAGGTAAAAGATATAAGACTAGTTCATTTTATACTGAGATCTAGCACTTTGTGTTGATTTAGTATAGTGTTTGATTCAGATTCACAAGTTATAGTTAGAGTATAAAAAATGCTTATATTGGCTTTGTAAGTATATAAATGCTCAAGATCACAAAACCAAACTTTTCTGTAATGCTTTCTAAATTATGTATTCTGTTTCTGAGTTCATAATTTACATTCTACAAAAGTTTTATGTTCATTATCTTGGATGTAATAGTACTGGCTTCTAAGATTATCTTGATTAAAACTTTGATAAAATTAGTATAACAGTCTTTACAAACAAGAACTTGATCCAATTCTTACAGAGTTTTAGATCTCTGAAGGTTTTTGCAATAGCAGCAATGTTGTGTATATCAATTACTATAAAAGTATTAACATTGGGCTTCAACTTTATTAGAGTTGCATCCACATTGGTCAATCTAATTCTAGTTCTTTAAACCAAACATTAACCTACTGATAGGATCCTAACCCTAAACTAATTGCGAACCAAGTTTTTTAATAAGATCACATAATCGGCAAAATTTTTTAGAATGATGATTAGTGTTGTTAAGTGAAACTTAGAGGTTTCACAAAGGGCAAAAGTCAAAACTAGTTTCGACTTTTGGCAAAAAAAAATTGAAAATGAAGAAATGTTGAAACTGTCAAAACTGTTGAAACTGGCAAAACTGTCAAAATTGGTGAAACTACTAAAAGATGAAAAATAATAAAATTAGTAAAAGATAAGAAAATTAATAAAATAAGTACTAATAGAAAGATTTATTTTATTATTTCTATATAAGATAAAAGGAAGTATTATAATATATGTCCAATTACAGAAATCAGAAATAGATAATTTTATTATTATTTGATTTATTTTAAATAAAGTATCAGAAACTAATTGTAAATAATAATGTTAACAAATTACTTACATGTGTATAGTATTTAATTAAAGTTTTAATGATGAAATGCTTGTAAAAAAAAATTCTTAACTATATAATAGTAATTTATTTAAATATTTTGATAAGTTCATTTTATACAAATAATATTAATACATAAATAAACCTTACTAAAAAAAAACAGAATTTTAAACTTTGAATTTTCAGATGCTAAATTGATTTATTATAAGTTCAAAAGTCTAAAGTTTAGTTTTCTTTTAATAGTATTCAAATACAAATAAAAGACCATCACTTTGTTTATTGCTTTTGTATATTTTTATATAAGCCAGCTGTGCTTAATGGCCATATGCAAAATATTTTGATTCACCAACATGGTTCAGTCTTTCCAAAATCTTAGAGAATTTAATCTATGCTATGTTAACTTTCTCCAAGGGTTTTAGCTTTACTGGGAGTTTTGCCAGAGTTTTGACGTTTCGCTGGAGTTTTGCCAGTTTTGACTTTCACCAGGTTTAGTTTTAACTTTCACTATTTACCAAAAATAGTTTTACCTAACAACACTAGTGGTGATGCTAGACTTATACATTTGACCTGGGACAAAATAGAAATTCCCTTTATTTAATACTAATCACAGAAAAATAATAATTTGCAAAACAGCTCCATGAAACCATAATTAGGTTTTTAGATTTAATTGAATCTCCTAATACGTATTGTCTCAAAAATTAGTTACATCTCTGAATTTAAAATTGGCTACGATAAGACAAAAACGAGTTGTAGAGAAAATTTTTTTTCTATAAATATTTATACATTTTCATAATGATTAGATGCGACCTTCTAAAAAATATTTTGAAAAAAAAAATTTTTAATTGTTTATCTTATGAAATTAAAATCTATAATATATATATTAAACAGTAAATATACCAAATGTATATATTGTAAGTGGGAACGGAATTTGGGGGGATTTGGAATTTCTTAATAAAATTGCAATTTTAGGGTAGAATTTATTTTATATATTAACTTAAAGTTCCTAAGAAATTCCAAATCTACTTAAATTCTATTCCTGTTTACAACATATATGCTGTAAAGCATAAAAAATTAGGCATGTTTGAGTTAGTTGAATAAGCTAATCGAAAAGTGTTTTAAAAAGAATAAAATTCATATTTATAGTAAAAAAAAGTTCATGCAGATTATCATGGTCAGAAGAATAATACTATTACTGGGCACATAAACTACAAATAACTACCTTATTTGACGAATAACTATATATAATACTTTACTGTTTAAAGCAAATAAACTGACAAAAACACTATTATTGACAGAAAGCTGAAATATTACCACTAAGTGCACAAACAGCTATATCATATAATATAGATCTGACAATGTTATTACTACAGCAAATAAATAAATTTGCAAATAAAATCAAAGCCTAACAACAATTACAACTAAATAAGAAAAATAGAAATAGACTACTAGTAATCACTATATCAATAGTAGCAAATTCCAAACTAGAAAGGATATATTGATATTAAACAGCTACTGACTGTAGCTTGCATATAAATTTGATACATCATCTGTAAAAGAGTAAAATGCAGAACAATACTAAGGCTTTTAATTGAAAATAGAAAAATAAGCCAATATACTAAATAGGAATTACGCAATTAGAATATTTTAATAAATATCTATAAAAGTCAACTCGACAATAGAGAACAAGCAGATTAATATTATGCCTAATAACTCTATTACTCAATATCTTAATAATTATTTTAGAAATATCTATAATGCATTAAGAGAATACTACTATGATCAATATAAAATCGACTATTAAATGTGGAAATTTTGGTAATAATGATAATAACATCAATCATATTTTTTTTTAAAATTTGCTCTTTGATGATCTTATTTCACACACTGCTAGTGCTTAGCATGTTTAAAAAAATGAATTCAACACTTAATAGTAAGGTACATAAAAAGCTGCATTATAGTTAACTCTTACTTTTGACATAATTGTATTACTAACATTTGATAGAACACAAATGTCTCTAAAATGCATACTGTAAATGAGTACAAGGTTGTGCTCTGAATAAGTGTATTAGGTGGAAATTATAACGATAATAATAATAAAGACAATGGCGATGAATGAATAAATTTTGATAAGTAACATATTGGTTATGTTATTTAATTTAAACCAGATAGGGCAAATAATAAATTTACGATTGCTTTCCATTTTAGTAATTTCTGTGTAGTGTTTTATTTGTGCAGTTTTTCATTAATTTTATATATACAACTAATATTCGATAAGTGAAAAAAAATTTGTGCATAATTTAGCTTGTGCAATGCACAAATTAGCCCAAAGTCAAAACATAAAGAAAATGCAAAAATATGAAAAGAAAAATGTCTGAAAGGCAATTTTATCTATATACCTGCCCTTATCCTAATACTAACCCTAATTATAATTAAAAGCTATTGATAATCTATCTCCAGAGAGGATAGAGAAGGACTATAACATAAAACAGTCAGAACCAAGTCAAAGATACGTCTTGCCTACCAAATGAACAAACACCATAAAAGCTATGACAACTAAGTATTATCATTATAAAAATAATTATCAAAAATTTAAGATAATATTACTGTATTCCTCATTAAAATGATTAAGTTGCAAGCTGGTTAAAGAAATTATGGTTTCTAAGACTACAACACAAAAACTAATGAAAATTGGTTTAAAATTAAGCAAATGCAATTAAATATAGATGGTAATGATGACGAGGGTAAAATTTTTAAGTAAAAAAAATTTCGAACAATGCAACAGGCAAAAGAAATCATTAATACACTCAATTAAGATCGGTGTATATTCTAATAATGCACAAAAAAGAGTTATTAAAACGATGGATAGATTCTCCTCAAACACCGCATCAAAACAACAAAAGAGTGAGATTTTATAGAAAAAGTTCCTTATGAAATACTTGATCATTCTTTTACAGGTGCAATTTTGGCTCATAAATTGTAAAGTATTATTGATTTATACTATTATTTTTATATAGAATGAATAACAGACTATAACAATCTGAGCTTAATATTGTCATGAGCTATTCATTTTTATTTACGGCTCTTATATAGTATCCAAAGTATCCATGACATAAATCTAATGAAGTAAAGTCACAATTTCACCGTGAACACTAATGAGAAGATGATGGTTGGCCAAACAAAGAAGGAAAAGTAATGTTAGATTCTTGGGTTTACAGCAGATTGCATTCATGTAACCACTATAGATTCTAGATTCTGCACTTTTCTTACTTGGTATTCACTAATAAAAATATCGGTTATGATGTTGATATAATTGTATTACCAACATTTAATAGTACTTGAATGTCTTGTCGACATTGTCAACATAAAAGAAAAATTAATAAACATTATGAAAGATGATTTGCTTAATAGGGCCATAGTTATGCAAACATTCTAATTAAATATTTTAGTTATAGTTAATCTATGTGGTTATCTGACAATAATCATAGTTTAGTTTTATTAATGTTTTTATTAATTATTAACTATTATTAGCATTAAAGTATATACAAATTTAGTATTCATTATAAATTTAACATTCATTATCATTTAAAGTTTTCTTCACTTTTTCTAATATTTCTTGATGTTTTTTTGTCTCTTCTTCAATCTTTTCTTGTTTTATTTTGTTACAAGTTTCTTGTAGTTCTTTATAAGCTTGTTTCAATTTCCTAATTACTTGTTTTCTTTTTTCGCCTTTTATTCTCTGTTTATCTAATATTTTAATGTATTTGATCGATTGCGTTGGGATTACAACTATCAGTCCAGATTCCATGAATACAATTAGCTTTTACAAAGGTAATGTTAGATCTACTATAGTTGATTAAATTAATTGTTGTGCACAGGTTGCCAAAGATGCCTTATCATAACAACATTTAGGACTACTGCTTTGGCAATATGATGTGGAGGTTATGCGTAATACAATAAAAATTACTACAAAAAAAAAAATAAATAGGAATTTAGACATTGAGAGTTTAAAATACTGTATTAATTTGAGTGAACTAGGTTCAGAGAATAAATTTTTTTGAGCAGCAAAAAATTTTTTGATTTGTTTAAGTAATTGCAACCAACGAATACAGTAAATAGTTGTTAAAAACTGTGAAGGTACAGTATATACTAAAAAATAAATAAATAAATTCTTGTCATGCCAATTATATTGCCGAGCCATTTGTATATTTATAATTGCAAATGGCTGTAAGTCACACAATGCACAGCTCAGAGTTTTCTTTATTTTTGTATGTATAGCATTCAACACTTTGCTTGATAAATAGCTTTAGTTGCAACATTTATTTATTAAATATCAGATCATAAATGAATTTTGACTCAAATTATTCAATTAATAAAGGTGATTTTAATTAATATTCAATCTTTACAGTTAATTCGATTGTTGATATTTTATAGAAGATACAATGGTTATTGCACATGAATTTTGAAGTATGCTAGCATATGATGAACCATGTATGGTAATGTATTTTGCTAGTTTTAAGAATTTCATCCACAATTCCATTCTGATAAAAAATAAGTTAGAGTAAAGATTAAATTGTTATAAAGTAAAGATGTTCTTTATTTTATATATTACTCTAAGATATGCCCAAAGTTTTTCAATCAGGTTATGAATATGATCTTGGAAACCTTTACTTTTTCAATATGGAACTGCTAGAGAACACCACAAATTTACGACATATACCAGGGAAAAAGGCTTATTTAAAACTTATATATCCTGAGTAATTCCTAATCAATATTGGTACATTTTATAAGCTTGTAATCTGAACTTTAAAAGTTTTGTGAAAAAATATTCCTACCATGTGTGTGTATTCCAAAAACTTTCATGGTTTGAATGATGTTATATATCTCTTTGTTAATCATTCTACTGCAAAATTTAAGAATTCTTGAAATACGAAGATCAAGGATATCTTTCATACATCAGAAAAGCTTGCATTTATCCTTATAACACTTATCAAGAAAAGGCTCATAAGGTTTTTCAGAAAATTCATCCACAATTACCTTCCATTTTTCATTTTTTCAATAATTTTGCCATGTAACATTAAAATCAACTTTATGGCTTGGCCTTTCTTTCTGATTTAAATGAATTTATTATTAATCACATTCTATAAATTAAATTTGATTATTACTCACATCAGTTTTTTTTAATAACGTTCATATGTACTTTGGAAGCAATTAAATAATGTTTAGCCCTAAAATTAATCTTTAAAGTTAAGTACTATATTATTATAGTTGTTGCATTTTTTATTTTATTTTATTTTTGGTATACATACCAAAAAAATTTTATATTAGGAACAGAATCAAATAATGGTTCAAGAAAAATTGATAATACTTTAACTGTCCACGTGTTTTCATTAATAGATATGTCAAAAGGCTCGATTATTTCATGATTAAGGATTCAGGAACTATTTAAACATAATTGTTAGTAAAGTAAGTATATAAAAATCACTTTATAAGTAACATATAATTCTCTAATAGTGCATTTAATATATGGCATTAATTCTGTTATTTTTTGAAAGCACTATTACTCTTGTCAGAGACATCATCAATGCTAGTATTGATAGTGGTAGTATAACAAAATTAAAGTAGTATGCTATACTTAATGAATTTTTAGGGACTGACAAGCAAGCAACTAAGTTAAAAAAAAAAGTAGACTTGCTGACTTTTCAGAGACTGATGAGCTAAATAATAAAAATAACAAAATTAAGTAGAACACTATGCTTGACAAAGCAGATAATCAAATTAAAAGCTTGTCAACTTTTCAGGGACTAACGAGCTAGCAATAAAAATAATCAAAAATAAAAAAAGATTCAAAATTTAAATAATTTAAGAATTGGGTACTCTAAGTAAAAATGTTCGGACCCCGAGAACTGAAATTGGGACCTATCGGAACCTTATATCTAATATATATTGTATAATAAAAAAACTCTATTTATCTTAAAGCCAGACTCTAACCCTAATTAAAACTATTAAAGATGTTATATAACATGGGTGCAAATATAATATTTCATAATATAATTAACAAAAAAGTTTCTTAGCTTTCATAAAGCAATCAAAATTTAAAATTGCCATGTAAGCTTTATAACTCTTTTTTTGTAGTTGCTCATTAAAAATTAGGTTTATATATCTTTCGTAAGTTTCATATTCATCTTTTTAAGAAGTATCTTGTTGGGCTTGTTTGTATTTTTTTCTTTTTAGAAATTTTATTAGCTTCCACTCAGTGTAAGATTTCATGAAATATAAAATCTGATCTATTTCATTCAAATTCGATCTTGGCATTGTCTTAGAAGGAGTGTTTAAATTGGATAAAGAGTGTGAGTTGTAAGAATCTAATAATAACTGGCTAGTTAATGAAAATTTTTGCTTAATCGGAGTGGAAAATGAATTCTCTCTCCTATTCGTAAATTTATTTGTATTGAATTTTTTTGATAACATTCTTCGATTTTCTAAAGATGTGAGTGTATTATCATCCTTTTTATGATAATCATGACATCAGTTACATGATGTTTTTTTGCGTAAAAAAACAATATCACGTGTTTTTGTAATATGTCATTATCATTGATTTTTTTTAGATAAAAAAGGTCTCTATAGTGATAGGCTTCTATTGTCTATTTAGGGATAGCGATAGTGTTAGAGGTGATATATTTAGTGTTATATCATGAATTACTGTCCATAAGAACATCCATATACTCTCCGATGAATCTTTGATTAAAGGTTAGAGCTAAGAAAAAATAAATGGCTATTATTAAAAAGCATAAAAATTTAAAAATTTATAAACTTATTTAACATTAATAGCTTATACTTAGCCATCCTATGATAGTTTTTTTATAGCAGTTATTTAAATCTTTGTATAATGTTATTGTTGAACAATGCAATTGCATTGGAGAAAACTACAGATAAATGGAAGGTAATGATTTAAAGGCTCTGATTCATAAAAAATTTGACAATATTAATTTACACTATATTTTGAGAAAATAGGTAACAAATATTATGCCAGCTAAATGCAAATTATTTTCTTAGTACAAGTAAAAGCAAATATAACTTCCTAATTAAAGAATTACGGAATTCCCTGAATTCTATAACATTAAAGAGGAAATTATATTAGAATTAGTAAATATTGCAAGAATGCATATATAATTTAATGATAATTGTTTGTAGCAATTGCTTAATTTTTGTTTTTACTTTTTGTTCTTTACTCTATTCCTTGAAACAGACCAATAATAAATGAATTATTATTAAAAAACTGTAGTAATTACTAATTAGCAAATTTCTACATAAAAAATACTATCATATTTGTTTAATCTTGCAAAAATTTAAATCAACTGATATTATTGATAAAGGTAAGAATACATTTGTTCAGTAAAGTATTCATTTTAGGTAGAGATTAAGAAGTTCGGAATACAGTAAATATTGTACTTTTAACTCTAATAATTTGAAAATTAGATAAGTAAAATTTGAGATTAATGAAAGAGCCCACATATGTAGAAATAATTTATAGTTATCAAATAATATGTCTATACTAGGATTTTTCTTTTGTAATCGAAGTGAAATTTTTGTAAGGCTAAAGTGTATTGACTGAATGAAAGATACTGATTATATTCTTGAATAATGATTTTTTAATAAAAAATAAACTATAATCTGCCCAATAGTTAATTCATACAATTTACTGTACATAGCTAATTCACATTAAATAATATTAGTTAATTTATATTGTGAGAACCTGTTTTAATTTTTTTAATATTTTATAAGAGTTTCCTAAAAATTCTGGTGAAATTTTTATTGTGCTAGGGATTTGTTAGATTCAAAAACTTATGGATGATATTCTATTATTGTTATAAATGAATATTTTGGAAATTATATTATTAATTAAATAAAGTTATATAGTGAATTAGTTAGTGTTTTGAGTATAATTTTGTATAATGAGTGTAATTGTATATATTTTTCCTTTTTATATGCTTTTCATGCAATTTTTTCACTTTAGCTAATTACTATGAAAACCCGCCAGTTTATTCTCAGATGGCTCTAGATGCTGTTGGAGAACAAACTGAAATTTATATTTAAAAAGTAATCTCGTAAATAAACATTTTGAATAAGAAAATACATTTAAATGATCATGTGGATACTTGTTTTTTCTTGTATTTTAAACAGTTATGAGGTCTTTAAAGATGAATAACAATGCTAATATAATAGATCAGATCCTCGTAAGCATGAGTTAAAATTAATTTTTTAATTGGGTCTTACTACTATTGATATTAAGAAACTTCACATAAATCTTTTCCAATACGATAATAAAATAAATTAAATATAAAAAAAATAAACTAAACTGATTTTAATTCCTATAACATAGTAAATTTAATTTTAAAAGACTTAGTTTTTTGACTGAAAAAATGAATTTAACTTGAATATTAATTTTACTTAACCTTTTCTTTCTTAATTTTTTCTAAATTTCCTAGATATTGTAAAATTTCTATTTCTTGTTCTTTTCTTTTTGTAAATCTTCATATAGTTTTTCTAAATCAGTATAATTATTTTTTAACACATGAAGTTTATTATTTAAATCTCGAATCTGAGAGTTATATTCACTTTCACTATCATCTAAAATTCTAATCTTAAGTTCAAGATTGCTTTTTACTAAAATAACCTTAAAATTATGTTAACTTTCTTTTTGAATGATTATTTTTTGTGAGTGCAATTTATTTATGATTTGGAAAAGGTCTTTTTCAAAGTAATCACAAAGAGATTTTGTGGGATCACCATGTTTGTGAAGATGTCTTGTACTTTTACTTACAAATAAACAAGGCATAATTCATTAATGAATCACTCAAATAACGATAAGATCATATTTATAATAAATTTATAGTGGTATCATAAAGTATTGTAAAACAAAGACAATAACAGAAGGACTCTATTAAATAAAGTGAATTTATTTTCAATTCATGCATTTTTGTATAAAAGCCTATATATAAGCCATGAGCACCAACCATAAAACCTGGGGCAATTCGATTTATCTTTTAAACAATACCAATACTTGCATAACTTAAACTTAAAAGGCGGCCTCTTATATTAATTCTTGGAACGTTTGTTTTGAATTTTCCTGATTTCCTATTGTTTACTCATAACATTGTGCTAATAATTTTTTAGCATTATGATAATGCTTAATCTTTAGATGGAACTTTCTTGTGAAGAATAAATAAATTTATTAACATCATTATGTTAATGTTGTAATATTTAGTATATGAATTCATGGGTCTGTTAAATTATATGATATTATGAAGATAATGATAACATAGCAATCTAGTTATTTTTGAAGCATTAAATTTTAATGCTTTCCTTTTATACATGTCAGCAGAAAGTTACAAAAAGTAGATATGGTAAGAAAATTTGGTTACTGGTCATGTTATAACTGATTTGTTGATTGCTATTTTTTTTCAGGTTTTTTAGGCTGCAATTCATGAAACATACTAAATGATAGCATTTATTTAATTACATCATTAGTTTGAAAATGTTTTTTATTTAAAAAAAATTAAAAATTTCAAAAGTTTTGAAACTTCACATCATGTATACTATTTTTGATCAATCAGTTAATCAAACAAGTATTTTAATGATTAAGATTAGACTTCTTATATTTAACTATTAAGTATATATTTAATGTTTTTTTTATAAATGATGGGTAATGTATCTTGAATATGAATCAACATAATAATCAGTGTTATAACGATAATAATAATCCCTCATGGATTAAAATAGTCATGTTACTTTTGTTATCAAATATTATTTTTTATGATTTACTTTCATTTATAGTTTAGATAATTTATATTAATTATTCACAAATGAGGATTTTTCAATTCAATCATCACAAATAAATTTCTTAATTGAGTTCAGGTTGATTTAATTTCAATTACTAATTATATGTTACACTAAATCTGCAGGAATGTGTGATGCTGATGCAATAATTAATGTTGATTCTGTTATCAAAATAAAATTGGAGTTAAAAAGAATGAATATAAACAATTAAAAATCTGCTGATATGGGAAATGCTATTGCAATTTATAATCTTAGTGATTGTTATCAAAATGGAATTAGAGTTGAAAAAGATAGAAAGAAGGCATTCGAATATTATCAAAAATCTGCTGATAAGAGGCATCTTAAAGGTATTGAAAAGAATGAATATCAGGTATTCATTTATTATCAAACATCTTAAATTTTCTAGTTTAT